AATCATGAGTTACTTGAGGACCATGGGCCGGACCGCACTGATCCCAGTGGCAGCTGCACATGACCAGTCCGATCTTCTCTGCAGACGCTAAGTCGTTGATGACTTGAAATCAGGGATGGGGCGGCCCAGGTCCTCAAAGGGCCTGATTCCGACGCGCAGTGTGGTTGATGGAAGACCTGGTGCACGGGTTTCTGTGTGCCATCAGCTCAGTTCATCGCAGTGACCAGGAGCTGGCCGTCCCTAACTTCAGAGACTTCCAGAGAACATCCGTGGGGAAAACTAACCGAAACAGCCGCAGGTCCGCTGGCTGGAACTTCACAGTTCTGGCTGCCTTCCCCTTCCGCGGGATTTTCTCTCCGACCCGTCTCGAGATGAGCCGGCTAGAGGGCGCTATATAAGCGATACTGAGGTTCACTGATTCTGCGTTTCTCAACCAGTGGGACATTATCGGCCGTGCCCCAAACGTCTGATATTTATCTAAGTGCACCATGAGGTGAAAAGGGTTGAGAAGCGCTGATCTCGCTCACAAACCTGCGCGACCCTCAGATGCTTCCGTCCTGTGCTTTCTTCTTCGACCTGGAAGGGTCATGCCCAAAGCCGTTTCCTACTGAATTCCTGACCTGGCACAGCAGGTTAGCAGGCTGGCGGCTTCTTGCCAGGAGCTCTTCGGATGAAGTGTGGCGTTATCTGCAGCTAAGCACCTTTTGATTTAGTGTGATGTCTTGAGACGAGACCTGTGAATTGCCTTACAGTTCTGGCTGGGAATCTTTCTGTGTAATGTGACCGTTTTCAATGTATCACTGTATTGGGCAGGGCAGCGATTCAGACCTCTGTGTGTTGCTGCCACACAGCTCTTGGGTCCTGGGTTTGATTCTGGACTGGAGTGCCTGTCTGTGTGGAGTTTTCTTGTTCCCCTATTTTCGCATCCCACCTCCCGGAGACATGCAGGCTGGGTTTGATCGGCTGGTCTAGATTTAAAAAAGGAAGACGATTCCATCCATGATCCGAAATCTGCTTCTTCCTGTTTGGGGTCGCGGGAACCTGGGGTCTTTCCGGGAGGCGTAAGACACAAGGCCAGCCCACACTCTGGCCCCTGGTGTCAGTCCGTTGTGCGTGCTCGGGAACTGTGAGCGCACTGCGCTCACCCGGCTGAGCGGACCGGTTCAGATTGGTGTTACCTGGAAGTTTGGGGCTCGCTGTGCGACGTTTTTTTTAAATAGTGGGGTCCCAGGGGACGTAAAAGGTTTGAAATCTCCTGGGCTTGGCTGGGTTGTGACACTGTACCGAATCCAAAAGCTCTGAGCACCTTGAAGAGAAGCGGGCGGGCCTGTTTTGTCGGAGGGATTGTGGGACAGCCTGGCACGCGCAGGGCGGAGTGCTGCTGCTGTTTGTTCTGGAACACGGTGCTCTCAGGCTTGGGGCCTGGCTGAAGCCCTCGAACCCGCAGAAAGAGCACCGCCGTCCCACGCCAGAGAAACACAGCCAGCACCCTGACCAACCAGGAGTGCCAACTTTCAGGCGGCCCGGAGAACACCCAGACTTTGACTCGAGCCTCTGGTGATCGTCTCCTGCCCTCCCTGAGACGTGCAGCTCATGGCGAAATAACTCTCTTTGTTGGATCTTGATGGCATTGGAAGGTAAATGATGATCCTGCTAAAAAAGAATTCGGAAACCCAGAAAAGCGATCCCAGTCACAGCTGCGCTCTGGGCAGTTCCCAGTGCGACGCACTTACATTTCACATGGATAGAGAAAAATCCACGTCTCTTACAAGGTTAAACACATTTTTATGGGGTTTTACTGTTGTCCAATTGAGCGCACTAGTATTTTCATACTGAGCAGTTTAAGGGCTTAAATTGTCCCAACAGGGCTACGGTAATCGTCTCGCCAGCTTGTTTGAAACGTGCCCTCTTACACAAGCAAAACCACCAGCCCTTCCAAAACCCGCAGTGGGTCTGAGATGGCAGTGCACTTCGTATCCGAAATGGGCATGAAATGTTGCCGCCCAGCGAGCCTTAAACAGAGCAGCGTGTTGATATTTCGGGAACTGGTGGTTGTTTTTTTGGTGGTTGCGTGGAGGAGCGAAGGAAGCAGTCCCTGGGGGGGTCACTGCCTTGGCGTTGCTCACCTGGACTGACGTCAAGTGACACTGTATCGTTCCTTGGCCGGGCCTGTTGCACAGCCTGCTGGGAATGGCCAGAGTGTGGAGATTTTCATGTGTTAAAAAAAGAGTTTATTATACGGAAGAAAATGTGAGTTCTGTGTATATGTATATAGATGCGCAGGAGAATAGTGTAACAGTGCAGAACGAGAGCCCACCATGTGAAACATAACTCCCGGCTGGATACTAACGAAGCACTTTAGCTTGTTTTTAGTAATGACATTTTGTACATCACATTCTGTGCGCTGAAGTGTTTTTTTTTTCTCTGGACCTGACCAGCTTTCTGCTAATACAGTTACAGCGTCTGTCCCTGTTATCACATTGTCCGCGTCTGGACAGAGTTCATTGTGTGGTCTAGATTGTTTCTGCTTCACATGTGCAAGCAGTGTTTGAGGGGGGTGTATTTCTTGGGACGTATCTGCTGTCAAAGTCGGGAGAAGAGCTCTAAATTCTCCATTGAAACCCAATGTGAGGCCGGAGTTGGTCTTCCCAGCCCTGAAGTACACTGGCAGGGCTCCTCTGGAAGAAAGGATTCAATTTTCCCATCCCCAGTCCTTCAGCTTTTATAACTCTCTGGCAAGAGGAAAACGGGGTATGGGCGTTTAGAAAAGGGGTGCAATTGTTGTTCACTCCACAGCAGAGTCTCAGCAGGACTCCCCCTCAGCAGGACTGAGTGAGAGGAAGTGGTGTGGGGAAGTATTTCTGTGCGACACACCCTAGGCGCTGTTCAGCCTTGCGTAACAGCAATTGTCTTCCCCTCCACTACAGAACATTTTTTTTTTCCACAATGAGCTGTGGGAGAGGCTTACGGGATAATGTGATAACGATGCACAGAATCTAAAACAATTACTCTTAGCAAAAGATCGTAAGTTATTGGGGAAAAATGAAATAAAAACTCCCACTCCTGAAAGAGAAATCTATTTAATGTGCTCGTGGCTGTAGCCACCATTCACTGAAGCCCATCTCGGACATTGCATTTATCTAGAATTTCTGCCACTAATTTGACGATTCCGTGTGTTTTTTTCAAGTTAAAAAAAACCGACCAGAACCCCCAGCCCAGAACAGCTGATGGTTCTGAGTGCCTCGTCTGTGTGCTGTATTTTCTGAATCGGAAGTTCAAACGCAAGCCCTTATTGCAGGACAGCACTTTACAAGGGAAACAGAAGTTAATTGCACACAGTCCTGTGTTTACTTGCCCATGGATGTGCATGGGACAGATTGCTGGGAGGTTGTGCGGGCCTCCAGTAGCTGTGATCGCATCACTGCCCTACTTATTTCGCCATCCCTCAGGGTAGTGGCTCGCTCCACTGTGTGTGAAAACCCACTGGAGGATCTCTCATCCCCATGGGTCAGTGCCTACTGTGTAGGTGAGTAGACGTCAGGGAAGCTGGAATGAAATTGCTATATAAAGGATAGGATGTGGATCCAGGAAGTGTTGTGGTTAGAGGGTTATTCAGCGTTCAGCGGGGTTAGAGGGTGTTCAGCGTTAGATTGAAAGGCTGCAGTGAGTGTGAGCAGTTGAAGGGAGAATTGCTAGGCTTGGCAGTGGAAAAGAGTCACTTGTAGGAATCGCAGGTGCAGTAGAAACCGTCCAGGAAGCAGTCTGGTTAAAAAGCATCTCAGTCGCTCCCTACGAGTCTGCAGGAGCTGGCAAGGGAACACATCAACCCTGAGAAAGGCTGCAGAAACGGATCAGGCACATGGAGTTCGGGCACATGGAGTTCGGGCGTGCGGAGCAAGGGTTAGAAAAGCCTCAAATGCAGGTCATCTGATTAAGGTTTCCTGCTTTTTTCACCGGCTCACAGTGTCTGTTTTTTGTGCTTTGATGGCTACGAGAGGAGCAGGTAGGCTTCTTGCAGTACAATCTTAGTTCTGCATGTCTCTGATCTGCTTTAGCCAAAAAAAGCAGAAATGGAGCGTTTTCTGTTTGAAATGATTCATTTCCACTGGACAAGAGGGAACTGTTTTAGCAAAGAAAAAAAGGAGATGGGTGATGTCTTCTCTCTGGAAGTAGGAAAGAAGATCAGGTCTTGAAATATACTCTGCTGTTCTTGTAGAGAAATTAGTCAAAAAGGAAGGTCAAACTTCACCCCTGATATTCGTGGCCTAAAGAGAGACGACATTTATTGTAGGAGTCTGTTTCAAAAGCTGTACTGAGCATCAAAAGAAACATCTCACTGAAAAACAAAATACACACAGCTGTCATCAAGACAATGGCATTCTGTTCTGTAGCAGGGTGTGCTGACATTTTATTGACCAGACGTCCGTCCATTTTCTGACCTCTTGATCCGATTCCGAGCACAACATACAGACTCCACACAGACAGCACTCCGGGACTCTCACCCAGGGCTGTGGGGCAGCGACGATCTGTCAGTCAAACCTTCAGAAACATTCCGTTTAGGTTCAGAAGCCGAAAACACGTACAGTAGCATCAAGTTTGTTTTGATGCTCAGTGTCGTTTTTTTCTGGTGTAGGGGTCCTGACTGCCGTTAAAAACAAAGCCCTGCTGTGTGTAGGGGCTCCAGGGTCACCTTAAATGACAGCACCCCCGCGGTTTTTCATCCGAAACAGAAGACGGGGGTAATTTTGGTGCTGTCCCGTACTGGATCTCCCTACATGCAGGTGATGAGGGTTTTCGAGAGGCTCGTTTTTCTTCCACTCCTCCGACAGCGAGGGGCATGCCCTGTGCTCGTCGGGGTTCGAATAAAAACAGAGAGACGTGTGTGGAATTTCCCTTCAGCCCGGGGGGGGGGACAGATCGGAGGGCAGAGGATGGTGGAGCTCAGGGGTCCGAGAGGGAGGGAAATGACGTTCTTTTCTTTCGTTCCTTTGAGGGTCCCAGCGCTGGAAGCTGTTACGTGACCCAAAGGCCTGCAATTCGTTTTTTTTTAACCTAAAATGCAAAGTGCCTCTCCCCAACCCTAACCTCCTTTTCACTGGGCCATCCACTGCCAGGAGTGTGGAGTAATTTACAGAAGAGGTCATAGGCCTGATAACCGAGATGGCACCTGTTTGATCAGCTCCTACCCCCAGCCTGTGGTGAAATGCGGGGCAGGATTGCGGAAGAAGTTCTGCTCTCCTGGTCCCACCTGCCACTGGTGTAATTCCAGGGCTGTCCTGGCCTCCGTGTTTTGTAGATCTCGCTGTGTGGCATGTGGAATTCAGCCCACTCGTGAAAGGCTCTGGGCTCAGAGGCCCAGGGCAGTGGGACCCAGAAGCCAGCTGGTCCGGATGGGGGGGGCAGCCCGTTTGCTGGATTATTCTGGGTGTTCCTGTCTCCGCCTGTGACGTTGCAGCGCCCTCTGCAGGCACCTGGGTGTGCAGCCTTCCTGAGCTCATGCCTGCAGTTCAGGGGTTACATCAGCAGCCCCTCTGGGGTACCTCATACCGGCTGGGCTCCGAGTGCCCGAATTGGACCGATTCAACGTCATAATCGTGTTCCTTGATTTTAATCTGTTCCGCTGACCCTGCGCTCTGACCCCCAGCTTCTCTCCCTGTCTGCGTGTCTCATGGAGAGCAAGCTGGGGTATGCTAAAAAAAGACAAATTCCTCATACAAGAAATTGCATATGGCCGATAAAGTGATCTGATCTTATCTTAATCGCCGGGGCACCGGTTTCTGTTGTTGACAAGTCGGAAGCACTGTGGAACTGTGGCACTCCGGGAGCAGGATTCACAGCCCCCTGATTTAACCAGTGCTGATCCTGGAGAGGAGACTCCTTCGGAATGTCCCTCTCTTAGTGTGCAATATTAAAAATCAGCCATCTGAGTTTGTAGATGAAAGGTAGAATGTCTATGTCTCGCCTTATACGCGTAAAACTGTCCCAGTGAAGAGTGAAACCAAATTTATTTGAAATAACCATACTATTTTAAGTATTCTTTTTTGTCTCTTGTGGCACTTACTATGCTATTTCAAGGATTTTTCTGTGCTGGGGACTTAGTAGTGTTTAGTTATGGAGAAGTGAAGGTAATGTGAAGGTAATAGTGACTGATGGGTTGAAAGTCACATCGCAAGAGGCGGAAATGAATTTGTTCTCATTTCAGATTCAGTAATGGAGAACAGGCAATTGCTTGCTTGAGGTTTGCAGGGAGGTACATCACTGAAAACCAAGAACAAACAAGACTTTCAACAGGAGGTCCACTGCACAGCCCCCCCTCCTCCTTCATTTCCACTTTCTGCCAGTAGGGGTAGCTGTTGAGCAGCGAAAAAATATATATATGTGGAGTTTGGAAATGGGGATAAAATTTGTAAAAATGTTGACCATATTTTTTTATCGATCATGTCATTGTGTATTTTGTTTTGTATATGTACTTTCTTTTTGGTGGGGATAAAATTAAGATAAGCCCTTTTATTTTATTTTTTTCTTGCGTGAGGAAAAAAAAAAGCCTATTGTTTATTTTGTTTTTTTTAAAACATCATTTTTTTTATTTTTATTTTAACATGTTTAATCTTACCAGGGAAAGTAACCTCTGTTGTAAATACTGTTTCTGAAGCCATAGGTTCTTAAACCTAGCAAGAATTTAAAAAAAAAACTTTTTTTAAAAAAACAAAGCGTGTATATTCACAAATATTTTACAAGAAAAATAAAAAGAAGAAATGCTAATCGCCTATTTTGTTCTTAAAATGGTGTTTTTGTTATTTTTCTTTTGGCTGCTTGGTGCAGAGTGGTGCATGCGGGATTGAGGTAACAGGTAGCTCACCCTGAGACCTGGGGAGAGCAGTTCGTTGTGGTTTGTAATCTTCCTTATGGGCATCTGAGGCTCAGCTTGCGTTTGTCCCCCCCACCCGTTGTCCTTACAGTGGGCCAGTGAGACATTACACTCCCCTACCAAGAAATTGAGACCCCACCCCACTGTGGCTCGGGATCTGTGCCTGTGGCTGGAAGGTTGCCGGTTCGTATCCCGCGGCCGGCAGAGGAATCCTACTCCGTTGGGCCCCTGAGCAAGGTCCTTAACCCCAGCTGCTCCAGGGGCGCTGTACAATGGCTGACCCTGCGCTCTGACCCCAAGCTTCTCTCCCTGGCTGTGTGTCTCTTGGAGAACAAGCTGGGGGATGTGAAATTGTACATGACTAATAAAGTGATCTTATCTTAGGTCACTGCACCTCTAAGGGCAGATTCACCTGCTCTGCGTGATACTGTTGGTTCTCCTTGTGCAGGAGTCCCCAGTCCTCGGCCTGTAGGGGGCACTGTGTCTACAGGTCTTCTCCATCTCTTTAACACGCCACCACCCACTGCTTAGAGAAGCCATTACACTGGTCCCATTAAGCCTGTAGCTGGATTTGGGTCCTAAAGAGCCCAGATGCACTGGGAACCTGCAGCCACACCACCCACCTGCTCTGCGACTGGGGATCCCCTGCATCACTGGCTCACAGGCAGCCATGGAAATGGGGATGGGGGGGGTCACCGCAGCTGGAGTGGGGAATGATTCAGGAACGACCTGCAGCTGCAGAGTGAAACAGCAGCACTGGCTCCAGGTGCGCTTGTGAGGTCACTTAACCCCACCTCGAGCACACTCAAGTAACAGCCTGGTGTGTTACTGCTTTACATTACTCATCATGCACATACCATGAGTCACGGCATTCCCATTTCTTCTGATAGGAAGGATTGCACTACTCTCCCAATATTTTAGTAGAACCCCACTCCCATGAAACAGCCAGCTTTCCCTTGTCTGGTCTATGGAATTTATCCAGCTGTAAACAGCATGGACAGTTTTAATCGGCATTATTGTCACCGTAGCCTGTGGCAGCAGAGAGAATGGCATTGATGTAGCATACCCCTCCATAGAGGGAGTGACTCTGCAATCAGACCCCACCCACAGTGGGAGGGACCCTGCCTCAGACCCCACCTAATGTGGGAGTGACCCTGTCTGACCCCACCCATAGTGGGAGTGACCCTGCCTCAGACCACACCCACAGTGGGAGTGACCCTGCCTCAGACCCCACCCACAGTGGGGTGGACACCATCAGTGTCTTCTAGATGTGTTGATCGTGCTGAAGAGGCTCATTACAGCATAAATTGCTTTTCAGACAGCACAACTGAACAGGAGTAGCTGGGAAACTCTGAAATGAGTTCAGGGGTGAATCCACTAACAAATGCAATTTGACTTATTAAGCATTGAAAGCCTTTTTAAAAATATGCTCCAGATTGATAACTGAAATCATTCACTCCCCCCCCTTTCTTAAGACTGTGGCTGTAACACAACCCAGACAACACCGCAGGCCATGTCCTTGGGCCTTTGGACCACTGAGCTGGTGGCCTAAAGCGTATACTACAGCATGCTCCTCAGTCTCGGCAAGAAACCCAAACTTAATGCAAGTACTGCCTCACAATGATCTGTGACAAAAGCCATTTTCATTTATTACTGATCAAAATAAATCAAGAGCGAAGCTGCAATGAAAACCACAAGAATATGGTGCCTCCCAGGGCTAGGAAGAACATGACTCCACCTACTATATTCATCTTAAAAGAAAGTGAGAGAAGGTGGAGCTCTGTGGCTCAGTGTGTAGTTTTACACACAGAACAGCACAGAACTTGGAGAGCAGGACCAGCCCTAGCACCTGCTGTGGTGTGAGCACGAGACAGGCTGCCCCTCCCCCAGCAGGGGCATGGCAACATGTCAACCAATGAGATGCTCGCAGAGGTGGGCGTGTCTATGGGTCCTCACTGTCCCACGACAGGTGGCTACACACATGCCTGAAAACCTGTCTTAAATAGCACAGGAAAGTAATCACAAGAAACTCGCAGACATGCGTTTGTACTGCTATGGAGAATACAGTTGTGTGACAGTTACCAGAGCACAAGTTGTAAACTGTTCCATCCTTTATTAAACATAGCTTGCAAGAGATAAATATTACAAAGTTATTTCCTCCAAAATTAGCTTATTTTTTCAGTCAATGCATAATCATTATTAATCAACTGGCAGTATTCAAACAGCATTTATAATATTTTTTTAAATTTCATTTTACTTTTTTTTAAAGACATTGTTAAATACCAAGGATGTGCAAAAGGTTTGGATTAATGTATGGACAACTCGAAAGCAAGCAAAATGCATATTTGCTAAAAAAAAAAATACTCCCCAAATACAGCCCCTCTACTCTCCCCCCCACCCCCTGTGCTCCACACAGGCAAGGAAATAATCTGACTAATTTAACTAGGCAAGTCAAAACATGAGGATGATACTAATTAACAATAAAGAATATAGCCTGAGGAGCAGGAGACAGGTTAGTCAATTGAATGGGCCAGAGGGATTCCCAGATCCCCATCCCCTTTGAAAAGGGTGGAATACGCTGTCCTCTCCGGCTCTCGTGCCTCAGCTGCAGGCGGTACCAGCTGAGCTTGAGCAGGAGCTCAAGAGCTGTTGCAACAGAAGCCACAGGACGGTGTAGCCTCTTGTGTGCTGGAGAAGCCCAGAAATCTGGGCAAGCAAGGGCAAATTTCAAGAATACTGCCATGGCCAGGCTCACCCCTGCCATGGTGGGGGACATCCACTCCACATCAATGACCTTCAATAGAGATTAGTTCTCAAAGTGCCAAACCATTGGGTTGCAGGTCATCCTGTCTTAAGGCTTTTTCCCCCCCCAATGGGGAAATAGGATGGAAGTCAACGGGACATCCTGCCAAGGGCTGAAATATAACTGCCCCCCCGCCCCCCGCGCAGGAGGGGGTTTCTAATATTGTGTCCCGGGAGTTTACTTTAGACAAGTTACAGTACTGTACATCAACATATCAAGTGCACCCCCTGGTGATCCCTAAGAGAACTACAGGGAAAAGAGCCTTTAATACAGTATTTTATATTTTGCCACTAAAAAAAAAACCATGAAAAGTCCCGTTAGCCAGAGAAGTGCCAGTTAACGCCCAGTCTACATAAACTGGGCAAATTTTGTTTGCACAGTGTGAGGAGCTCATGAATCTCTCGCCCCCTTTGCTAGGGCTACAGAATAAAGCTGTGGTCATCTCCGCATGCAGTGAGGCAGGACCAGAGATGAGATGTTGAGGACAAAAGTGCAGACAGGAGCAGACCCTGGCCAGAAAGAGACCTTTTAGGCCACAATATGTAAAAGAAGCAGGAGCCCCCGGTTTGTGTCCCTTTATGTCTTGAGTTAGGCCTCACACAAAGACAAAGTGAGAACCGTTTGTTGTTCCACTATGCGCCTCAGCGTGGGTGCTAGGATCTGGGAAGAACGGCTATCAGCACATCTTATGATCCCGCAAAAATCAGAAAAAGAGTGGGAACTGGAAAAAAAACAACAAACCCATACGTTTTGCACATTTGTTACACAATATTACACAGTGATCACAAAACGAAATGACACAAGCTTCACAATATTCATGGCTTTTTTTTTTTAGGTTTGCTTTTCTACACAATATACAACCATTTTATTCTCATTTTATTTTATTTTTTTAATCCAAGAGAAGAAAAAAAAAGGAAAAGCTTATATACAATAAGTCATAATTACTTCTGGACTAGCAAATAATTGTGTCATTTTTCATTTCATAATTCATGTTTTTTTTTTTAAGTTTTCATTTTATTTCTTACAAAGGAAACAAAAGACAGCCAAACGATAAAAACAGGAACAGAACCGAAAAAAGATGCCTGCGAAGTGATTTTTTTAAAAAATGTTTACATTTTTTTTTAAAAACTTTTTTTTTTTTTACATTTTCCTTTTCTTAAAACGCTGTTACTTTAGCCGGCGATATTAAAACAAAGTTATATGAATTCATCAAGCACGGCCGGAAAGCGAAAGAGAGAGAATGGTGAATGAAGTAGCGGGTTTCTTTCAGAATATTCCAATACAAATGGAGCAGCACAAAGCCTTCCCTGAAACAGGAACCGAAAATGTGACCTAAGAAATCTTATTGCGCTCTAAGATAATAAACCAGGAAAAGAGGGTGGGTATCAAAAGAACCTTTAACAATGCAAACTTCCCTGTTTCTCCAATATTGCACCTTGCTGTTCAAGTTCTCCCCAACAGGAAAACCCAGTGGCCAGTGTGCAGCCCCCTTCAAACACGGGTCACTGCGGTCTCCTGCAGTCTCGAACAGGGGTCCCTATCCCTGTGCTGTCCAGCCCGTTTCACAGGCAGCCATTACAACATCGGTTTCCAAGGGCCTGGAACAATATGACTACGTCCGCTCAGTTACACAGGCCGGGTTCCATGAAGTCCTTCAGAGATCGTTTGGGACAGAACTCGGAACATCCGCCAGGCTCTCCAGGAAGCGTCTTCCCTTCATCGAAATATCTCTTGCTTAACTGTTTCAACAGGAGCTCCTACATCGCCTCTGCAAGGGCAGGGTGACCTGTATGACCCGCTGGACTGGGGCTCTCCGGGACCCGGAGCTGGTGACCCTCTAGTTTAAGAAGTTACTGCAGCACGAAACGGAGAACTGATTTTCAGGTGGGGTTCCTGAAGTCAGGCAGGCTCTGTGGCTCAGAACCGTGTTCAACTGGTTCCATCAAGCCTTAATGAGCCTCGTTTAACCCTCCCCACAATCCTGTGCCATTTACAATTTCAGAACCCAACAAATTCTGCTGGATGACCGCTCTCCCAACGAGAGACTGGGCACCTGGGGAGGCCCAATTTGAGGGGTCACAATGAAGCTGCCCCATCTTTTTAGAATCGGATTGAGGGAGGGCACACTAGCTTGTATCAAGATCCCTCTGCACCCCAGGGCTCAGAAAGCACGCCAGCCCCTCCAACACAGCAGCACCCAAACACCCTGCCCTGCGGCTCGCGCGCACATGCAGGAGGGGCAGCGGACACTAGGGGGCGCCACATGGGGCCCTGCATTGCAAAGCCACTACAGCCCGCCCGCGCAGAAGGATGTTCTGTTCCCAAGATCCCTCCAGGGGGGATCGGATCGGGTTCCATTGCTCCAGGGAGGGGCGTCCCCCACCCCGTTCCTCAGCTCCTCAGTCTGACCTCTACCCTCACAACCCCAGTTGTGTTTCTAAATTGAAGGATGGGCCACCCAACGTAATACTGTAGAATATAACACACCTCAACCCCCCCACCCCCCACCGCAGTCCTGCCTAACGACCACCAGATCAGACACCCCCAGAGCCCTCCACTGCTCAAGCTGCTAACTTAGCAGATCCTGGGGAAAAGAACCTGAAGCTTCTTTTCCGGGCCAGGAAGTGGTACTGTACTTGAATCAAGAGACTCTCTTAACTGCGTTAACGGAAAGTCCTTGGAACACAATTAAATCATCATGTACCAGAGCACCTAAACGCACGTAAAGCCAGTACAGGATTGGGTTCAATGCCACAGTAAACAATGTTTTCGCCACACTTCAGGAAGGACTGCTGCTATGAAAAGTGATTAAAAAGTAATGAGCTTAACTTCCAGCTTCTAGGGAGGTGTCATACACGGGTTAAAGGAACTAAGTCTCCTTAGTCTAGAAGACAGGAGGCTTGAAAGGACTTCACACAAATCCCAAATGTCCAAACAGCTGGACAGGCAAGGGAAACGAAAAAGTGTAAAACATACACAAAGAGTGGTAGGTGTCTGGAACAAGTCACTTGTTGAAGCAGATTCCTTGGGAATCCAATGGAAAACGGGCCACAAGGTGGGCTAAATGCACTCCTCTGTTTGGAAGGCTCAGGCATCATTGCCTGAAATTAACGCTAGCGATCGGTGAGCGCCGGTCACCCATTTAAACTCCAGTGACGAGGGAACACGTCTGATCGCAGCACAACCAGAACGGCCGCAGGACACGCCGGGTTTTGGGGAAGCGATTCCCCACCAAGACGCACCCCAGGCTCCCCGCGCACGGTTCCAAAACCACAACTGCGGGTCGTCTGGGTGAGCAGTGCTATTGCTGCTGTATTGTTCTGCAGTTCCTTTTTACTGATGAGACTGGAGGGGTACAACATTTGCACTCCATACCTTTGGAAGGTACAACAGAAATGTCATCAGAAGGGCCTAGAGAACGCAGGCGATGTTAACTGCGATCATTTTAGCAGTCTTGGTCGACCACCAAGGACGAATGGCGACCAAAAGGAAAAGAACCGGTTTGCATGTCCTGCCTGATCCCGCAAGTGTAATATCCCAGAATGTGATCCCGATGAATCTGTGAAAGCAGATCTCTTGTGGAGAGCAAACCCTAGTCTGATCAAGCTGCATCGGCACCAAGACATGTCCACACCTTGTTCGTGTGTGCGTCTCAGTAAGCGGACGAGAGCCGCCCTGCCCCCCGAAATCCCCACCTGGGCAAACCAGCGCCCCCTTGTGACCAGCGCTGACCCCCACAGCCGTGTCCAGAGAAATGCTGATCACTGCCTAGGAAGTTCGGACACTACGGTTCAGCAAAATCAAATGTGGAAATTGACCAGAGTGTGAATATTGAACATTTCTTCGCCTGCTTTTTGACCTTAAAAATCCTCCCGAAGAGCAAGCCAGACCTTCTCATGAAAACCAGAGTTCACGCACTCTTTCCCAGATTAAGGAAGGTCACCAACTACCAGCCCAGCATCTACTGTACAAATAGGCCTACACACACGCCAAGTCTCATCCAGGGATTCGCTAGTGCTCCAGGTTATCGACACAGAAAAGCTTGCATATTTACATATTCCCTTTTCGCCAGCTTGCAAAACTAAAATTGATTCGTCATTCCTCGGAATACGAAATCCCACTCGATCATTGGCAGGACACATTGACCATACTATATTTTCCCAATTCCAAAAGTTTGAGGGAGAAGGCAACCCCTCCGAGTCTATTTTTGAATCCCCTGTTAATTTGAAATTATATTTTTAAAAGACAGAGCAAGCAGGAGGGAACCCATCTTATTAGGGATTTTGATAGCTTTTCAAGTTTATTACCTCAGAGGTGTGTGGTGTGTGTGTGTGTGTGGGGGGGAGGGTTTGATTGCACAAGCACAGCAACTCAAAAGCATGAGAAAAGAAATAAAAAATATCGCCAAGCGGTCGAGAAACGTTGCACACAATGTTTGACTTCTTTAAACTCTACTTCCAAGCTACCCCTCCCCGCCAAAAAAAAAATCATGATAGCACCTAACTTTGAAAAGCCTGGAACCAAAACAGTAAGAGGGCCAACTGCTTTCTGAACAGGTGCGATCTACAGGAGACTGGTCCGTTTGCCTTGGCGCGCAACAGCACACGCGTGTACCTATCCCCCAAGACAAGCGCCCGGAGACCGAGACCCGCAGAGAGGAACGATCTCCTTTAGAAAACAAACAAACATACAAAGTGCTCCGACACGATTCTCGTGTGCAATGCCACAGAGCAATGATTGAGCCATCTCTTTTTTTTTTTTATAGATAGACGCATCTATATATCTACTTATCTGTATATTTTATATATATAGAAATAATTCTTTTTCATTATCGTCTCCAGGTCCCGTACCTTTCAGATACGCTCTGATCCTAAAGGAGACACTTAAACCACAAAAAAAAACCCATCAACCCCCCCCAGAAAATACACCCCTTTTTTCCCTTACAGTGGGGAACCCAATTCCCTAGTTTCAGTTCTGATTCGTCAAGAAAAAAAGGCTGGTTTTTAAATTTTGCATATAATCGGCGTCCCCGCAGAAGCAGTTCTCCTGAATGTTCGAAAGCCCAGTAGGGGGCGCTCTCGGGAGCCCCTGTCTGTGTGGCGGGCTTGTGAAGTGCTGAGGTCATCGTCCACAAAGGCACAAAACAAAAGTTACAGGTCAGGAGACCGTGGCGCCAGGGCCGCGCGGACTACACTGCTGATACAGGATGCACACCCTCCTAGCAGCTACTGCTCCTGTAGAGTCAACCCGTCGCGTCCCATGAGCAGCTGGGGGAGAACGGGAACGCGAAACCGCCTGAAGCCCGGCAAGAGACCGACTTGGAATCGGAGGGACGTCCAAGTCAACCTTCTCGAATCCAACGCCAAGAATGGAGCTCATCTGGACACTACAATAATACTACAGGACTAGCGAACCGCCGAGCTGCCGCAGCTCAGAGGAGTTCAAAACCAGAACGGACGCCGACGTTTCCCTGTGTGACCGGAGCCTAGCCAGAACATTCCAAAGAGTCATTTACATCAAACGGTTTTAAACTCTTTGCACACAATTAAGATCCCCCAAAATATCCGCCACCCCACCCTCCAGGATTTCAGTAAATTAGGTCCAGCCTCTTGCTGCGGTATTTTGACACTGTCGCTCAGAAAGAAAGAGATCCATTTCATCCAGTCCTGAAGAATCATCCGAGGGGTTAAATTCATCACTGCTCTCGAAATGACCCTCACTCGCACAGAGAAAGCGCTGATGGAGTACTTTTCTACAGCCCCTGGCATCACCGACACAGAGCTCTGCAGTGACCTAGTCACACCCTGATCAGGCTAGTTCGAGCAGCTTTTGCTGCAAACGTCACCCACATTGAAACCCTTTCAGCCTATCTGAGCTTGGGCAGTAAGGCTTCACTGCTCTGCTGCCACTGGGAATGTACTGCCCTCTGCTGGCAGAGGAGAGGAAAAGACTGGTTGCAAAAACAGCACCACAGTTGCATGCTAGAGACATGGATTTCTCCAAATGCCGGACCAACTCACCCCTGGAATTCACAAATTAAGTCTCGGATCAATGCTGTTTGGTTTTTTCAGGAAACAAGTTTAAAAAAAAAAAAGCCGAAAGCCCCGGAGGAAGGTAAAAATAAACGGTGATCATCAGCAGACTAATGACGATGGGCCTCCAGAGGGAGGATGGAGACTGTCGCGAGAAACGGCTCAGCACTCGGGGGACACAGTCACCCCTGCTTTCCCCACTGTCGTAACGGGGCCACACCCACAACACGAAGCCCCGCACAAAGCAGATCCCTTCTCATCCCCACTTGGAAGGACGGCAAGCCCCCCAGGACGATCTCGAATGGGAGACTGCGGTGTTGGGGCGTGCTCCGTTTTGTGCTCCGTCTGGCACCCTGCAGGCGCTAACCATGTTGATGTCGGCCAGTTGAATTTACTGCAGCCGCCTGATGTAGGTTTCCCCGGCCCTCCTCTCCCTCGGGTGTTCAGTCCGTGAGCGTGGCAGCAGCTCTCCAGCGGAGGGTCCCCCCTGGGATCGAACCCCGCTCATCAGAAGCCGGCACCCCTTCACTCCTCGCAGAACCCAGCTTCCCCTCCCAACCCCGCCACAGACAGCCAAACCAACACCCCCATACTCACCCCCAACCCCCCCTCCCGGGACCCCACCCCAAACAGGCCGTCTTCTTTTTTGCGGGGTGCGCCCTCACCCCCATAAAAGTGTCCATCCGCGCGCCCGACATCCGCCTCGGGCCCGGTGCTCGGAGGGAGGGGAGGGGGAACGGAGCACAGGGGGAAGAGCTGGCAGAGCCCTGGCGCTGTGGAGACGAGGCCACCGGGCCCCTATCCCCCGTGGAGAGGACAGGGCCAGCCAGCCTCCCTGCCCCAGCGGGGGAGAGGCAGGGACGGCGGGACCACCCTCCCCGCCGGCCACACTGGCAGCACCCAGGGGAGACGGAGCGCCGAACAGGCGGCCGTTCGGATTGCATTGCTCTGGTTTGGGGGTGGGGGGGAGGGGCGGGGGGCAGGGGCAGGACTCATTTCTGCCCCGTGATGGACTGCGATATGGAGCGCGGGGGGATCATGTCGAGGAGGTACTCCCGCTGCCGGTCCGCCAGGCTGGAGGCCTTGTGCCCTCCGACCCCTCCGGGATTCAGGTAGGCGATGTTCACACCTGCGGACACTGAGAGCGAGAGGGGGGGGGGGTCAGAGAGACGAGCGCTGCACCGCCGCCACCCTCCCACCCACCCCACCCCTGCCTCGTCTAGTGAGGGGCGCCAGGGAGAGAGGGAGAGAGAGAGAGAAAAAAACAGCATTTGAAAACACATCTGACCGAACACAGCAGGAGTGCCAATTAACTTCAACGTCTCGCCCACTTCAAATCACAGCCACCGCCCAGACTGGAGCTCCCTGCTGCCACCCCTTGACCCCTCGACCTGTCGCTGGCTGTTCTGCAGAGCCCCTCTCCACCAGGGGTGTCAACCAGAGGGGCTGGGCAGCTCTCACTGATGCCCCCCCCCCAGGAAGGTCACGGGCGCCCAGTTGCATGTAGGGAGTCACTGTTGCACAGAAATGCCAAGATGCCCAGCCGGCCAGCTCACTGGTGGGCACTGCCCAGCCGGCCAGCTCACTGGTGGGCACCACGCCCAGCCGGGCAGCCCTGCCACTCAGGAGACCCTTCATTGGCTTCCTGTCAGGTACAGGGTGGACTTCAAAGTCCTTCTAATTACTTAGAAGGCTCGCAGAAATCAGGCACCTGTCTATCTAATGGAACTTATTAATGTTTACCATCCAAGTCGCCTGCTTAGATCACAGAATCCAGGTCATCTTCATATTCCACGCATTAATAAAATAACAATTGGTGGTTAAGCCTTTAGTTACAGGGCCCCTAGTTTATGGATCAGTCTCCCACCCCATCTTCGGGATGCAGAGTCGATCTCAGGATATGACTTCAGCCTAGCCTACTCACACCTTTTACATCACAGCCTGCTGCAGCCATGGCTGCTGGTGCTGCTGTCCCTGCCATTGTGTGTCTCTGTGTTGGCCCACCAGGTAGATACACCTGTTCTGACCAGACTATCCTATTCTCTTCCCCACATGTCCGGATGGTGCCCTGGCTGGGGACCATCTGAGTTGGATCCATGGCAGTGATGCAGCATCCAAGAGAGACATCGTGGATATAGCTATCATTTAGGAGGAATTTACTGGTCTACAGAGATCTGAATGGATGAATTCATACCTTCATTCATTTCTATTCTTTTTTTTTTTTTTAATTGTATGATGCTAGCATGCCCAAAGGGGTTGGGCAGCCAGTTGACCTTTTTTCTCCTTACTAAGGAGTTTTTGGTTCCTGTCCCCTGTTGTCTTCTGGTCTTTTCTGTTCTGTATTCACCACATGTAGGGTTACTTGCATTGTGAAGTGATTTGGGGTACCCTTGGTGTGAACTGAATTGAGACAGCAGTCACACCGCGCAGATCGGAGCCCTCAGACCCGCCTGGCGCCTGCCCTGGCTGAGCCACTAACCCCACAGCCTGGTCCTCCAGGGTCTGAGCTGCATCCCCCACCTGCCCTCTCCACACACGGGGCAGAGGAGGGCGGCGCTCTCACCTGGGATGTTGTAGAGCTGGCGCCGGCTCTCGTGCTGGGCCCGGCTGCCACCGCCGCTGCGCTTGCTCGCCATGCCCAGCAGGCCGCCTGCCACCGACAGCTGGGAGGCCTGGGCGAAGTTGGACAGGACGCCCCTGGCAGAGCTGGAGATACTGCGCTGGAGAGAGGCCTGCGGCTGAGGAGCCTGGGACACCGACAGAGAGTGACGAGAAGGGAAAGGACTGGTCACAGAACATCCATCTTCACCTCCGAAGAGATCCCCAAGACAGATCCCAGAGGATCTCCCGCCTCCTTCCCCTCCCACTCCCAGATCCCAGAGGATCTCCCGCCTCCTTCC